GCAGGCATGGCAAATGCAAAAGTCTGGAGGTGTGACAAGCTCTGTTCTGCTTGTTTGGGCTGGGGCTTTTGGAGAAGGGCTCCGGCAATACCAGCTGTGTTGGGGAGCCACTGAAGGCTGGGGGACAATGATGTGTGAGCTGAGGTGGTACAGCTGTCACTTGATGCCCCAGGACACCCAGATAGTCTCCTGCCCTCCTCTCCTGCAGACACCAATGTCCTACGCTACATCCAGTTGACTCAGCTGAAGATGAACCGGTGCAGCCTCCAGCGGGAAGACAGTGGGGCCGGGCCAAGGGATGTCATTGGCTGAGGCCAACCTGGAGGAACTGTTCCTACCCCGACTCTCTCCCACCTCACCTTCTAATTTCCCGTGACTTGTGTGTTTGCTGGTAAAGTGCTCATCACTGGTAACCACAACCTCTTTGTGTAGTGTTCTTGTGGGGACTAGGGAGGGGACACAGGCCTGGGCTTCACCCCCTGGACCTCAGAAATCCAGAGAGCCCAGGGAGGGAGCATGGGGTGGGAAGTGCCCCACTGGGGATGAGTCAGGATCAGGGCCTGGGCCAGGAAAAGACACACGGCCAAGTGCTGTAGGGGGCAGGGGTTACCTTTAATGCTGCATTTTGTGCCGAATCCCCCATGACGCCCTGTCCCTGAGTATCCCTGCCCACCCTCCCCCCACTGCAAGGCGGGCACAGGGCCCTAGCCCCTGGGGTACAAAGGAATAAATTAAATGTCCCCCCTCCCCCCTTCCCCAATAAATAGAGTGAGTATCCTGCCCGAGGCCTCCCCTTCCCTGTGGCCTGGTGGGCTTGGGGCGGGGCCTGGGGCGCTACATTCATGGCTGCCCAGGCGGGCTGCGGTGGGCAGGCCTTAGTGGGAGCCTTGGGCCCCACACAGGGGTACTGTGCTGTCCTGGCTCTGCCCCTCCATGTCCATGTCCAGCAGCGTGGGCTGCATGCTGCGGGGCCCAGGGCTCTCCGGGGTGTCCGGCCTGCTGGGAGGCGAGATGCTGAGCGTCCGGCCGAAGGAGACCAGTTTCCAGGGGTCCAGGCGGAGGCGGCTGGCAGCCGGCCGGGGTCTTGGGGCGAAGGTCAGGGTGGTGGGGCGGCCAGGGAACTCGGGGGGCCGGCGGCGGGTGGGGAACAGGGCCTGGGGGTCGGGCAGGCGGGGGAAGTCCAGGGGATCTCGCGGGCCTGGTAAGAGAGGATCAGATGAGAGGAGTGAGAGAGGCACAGGGTGGCACTCAAAAGCCAGAAGAGCTGACACGAAAATTGGAATTTCTGATTCCTCTCAAAAGATCTGCTAGCGACAAAACCCTCATCCCTCCCAACTCTCTCACACCCAGCCAGGGTCAGGCAGACAGCTCAGAGACACAGAGACCTCAGATGTGACACCATTTCTGAGCTGGGATAACAGCACCTGCCCACAGAGGAGAGGACTAAATCAAACAGTAATAACTGTAAACAGTAGCTCAGCGCCTGATGGGAGGTTCTTAACGCCGTCTGTTCCAATCACCTTTGTCGGCTTAATAAAGGCATAGGGGACAGGGCCTAGTGTGAGTATTAGCTATGGCTACTACTGTTGCCATTAAGGTCACCTCCCTGGTCCTTGTGGGCTTTAGTGTTCACTAACCCTGTTTCACCCTGTGTCTCAGTCACCCAGGGACCCACAATACTTCCTGCAGTGAGGACCAGGAGGACACACTGCCCCTTCCTCCGCATTCTAAACAGGGGGTGGCCACAGGGCTGGGACATTGGACCTCGCAGGGGAGAAGGGCTGCTTTCTGTGCCCTGGGCACAGGCGGCCTCACTCACCAGGGCCCGGGCAGGTGGGCTCGG